CCAAAAAGGAAGAACATGCTCAGCATTTCTTAAGCTGGGGGAACTGAAGAAAAAATTCAATCCTCTACTTTTGTTATTGAAAGATGCTCTGGAAAAATTACTGAATGATGCAGAAAGCATCAAGAGAAGATGGTAGGAACACACAGAGTCACTGCACCAAAAGGAAATGGTTAATGTTCAACTGTTTCAAGAGGCAGCATACGATCAAGAGCCAATGATACTGAAGGAGGAAGTCCAAGGTGTATTGAAAGAATTGAAAAAGAACAAGGCACCAGGAATTTAAGGAATACAGCTTGAAATCTTTCAAGAAAGTGAGGTGGCACAGGAGGCACTCACTCATCTCTGCCAAGAAATTTGGAAGACAACTATCTGGCCGACTGACTGGAAGAAATCGTATTTGTGCCCATTCCAAAGAGAGGTGACTCAAAAACATAACGCAGAAATCATCGGACAATCTCTTTGATATTCCATGTGAGTACGTTTTGCTAAAGGTAATACAGACACGGCTACAATCATACATTGACAGAGAACCTTCCAGAGGTTCAAGAAGAGGCCATGGAATGAGAGATATTGCTGATGTCTGATGGATCTTGGCTGAAAGCAGAGAATATCAGAAAGATGTTTACCTGTGCTTTATTGGCTACACAAAGGCTTTCGATTGTGTGGATCATGACAAGCTATGGACAACATTGCGAAGTATGAGTATTCCGGAACCCTTAATTGTGCTCATGAGGAATCCGTACCTGGATCAAGAAGCAGTTGTTTGAACAGAACATGGGAACACTGAATGGTTTAAAATTAAGAAAAGTGTGCGACAAAGTTGTATTCTTTCTCCATACTTATTCAACCTGTATGCAGAGCAAATCATCTGAGAAGCTGGGTTATATGAAAAAAAAACGTGGCATCAGGATTGGAGGAAGACTCATTAACAACCTGCGATATGCAGATGATACAACCTTGCTTGCTCAAAGTGAAGAGGACTCAAAATATTTACTGATGAAGATCAAAGAGCACAGCCTTCGGTATGCACTACATCTCAATGTAAAGAAAACAAAAGTCATCACCACTGGACCAATAAACAACATTCTTACCAATGGAGAAAGGATTGAAGTTGTCAAGGGCTTCATTCTTCTTGGATCAACTATCAACACTCTTGGAAGCAGCAGTCAAGAAATCAAAGGACATATTGCATTAGCAGCAAATCTGCCACAAAAGACCTTTTTAAAGTGTTCAAGAGCAAAGATGTCAGCTTGAGGACTAAGGTGCGCCTGACCCAAGCCATGGTATTTTCAATCACCTCATATGCATGCTAAAGCTGGACAGGAAGACCATAGAAGAATTGTGACTTTTGAGTTATGGTGTTGGAGGAGAATATTGAAAGTGCCACGGGCTGCCAAAAGAACCAATAGATCCGTTTTGGACAAAGTGCAGCCAGAGTGCTCCTTGGAGGCCAGGATGACCAAACTTTGCCTCTCATACTTTGGACATGTAATCAGAAGGGAGCAGTCACTGGAGAAGGATATCATGTTTGGTAAGGTGGAGGGTCAGAGAAAAAGAGGAAGACCCCCAATGAGATGGACTGGCCAAGTGGCAGCATCGACGGACTCAAGCGTGGCAACAGTAATGAGGTTGGCCCAGGATCAGACAGTGTTTCGTTCTGCTGTGCATAAAGTCGCTATGGGTCGGTACCGACTTGATGGCACCCAACAACAACAATACAATGTAACTGCTATGTAAATAGCACTTTATGTTCCCACGCAATCACTTCCCCTCACCCCACTGTATTTTTCTCTCCATGTTGGTTGAATTCACGGATATTGAGCCATAGGATGCTGAGGGCCACTTCTAAAATTTCATTTACAGAAATCTTCAGTCATGAAGCACTTTTCCTTACATCTCAATTTTCACCAAGTAAAACACAGAGCTGGAGAGACTACTGATTTGACATTATTAACAATGTTTAAAAATCACTCATAAGATTTAGCAAATAGACTTTTAAAGTAAATGTTTGTAAATATATAAGGGCGGGGCTTCAAAAAGCTTATGGAAAAATGTGGATTGAAAGAAAATGGAATTTTTCCATGAATTCTTTGACTACCACTTGCCCATCTTTAATAGTAAATCCAGTGTCATTGGGCTGTGGAAGAGTCTATGAAACCAATTATGCTAATCAATGAAGAGAGAATCTAAAGACTTTAACGATATTGAGAACATTAGAATGCAACTTACCTCCCAATAAAGCTATTTTGAATATGTTAATCTACCGCTGATAAACTATGAAGGCAAAGACTATGTCTGTCTTTGCCTTCTACTCAGTATTCCATGCTGTCTAGCACACTATAGAGTCTCAATTTAAGTTGAACAAATGTGGTAAGTAAATGTGATTAAAATATAATGGAACTCCTTTCAAATATTGGTTGATAGCTTCATTAATATCTGATTAATGAGCTTTATTAATATATGACTTAAGAGTGAGGCTTTTGCTATTTGTAGCTAATCTATGAATTCAGGAGCCCTTGTGGCCCAGTGGTTTAGTGTTGGGTTGCTAACCAGTAGGCTGAACATTTGAACCCGCTGGTCATTCTGTGAGAAAGATGTTCAGCTTCAGTTTAGATTACAGTCTTGGAAAACCTACGGAGGCAGTTCTCCTCTGTCCTATAGGATCCTGATGAGCTGAAACTGACAGCAGGATTGTGGAGTTTTCTTGGCAGAAGCTACTCATTATTTTGTTGTTCTTTTTATTAATTTTTTAACCATTTTATATTGTGAATTGAGTGGAGGTTTTCAGAGCAGATCATCAGTTTTACATCCAACAAATCACATACTGTCTTTCATCTCAATGATTGCAATCCCCTCCATGTAACAGCAGTGATCCCACTTTCTCCCTGTGGTTCCTCTCTACATTTCCTTCTCCTTCCCAGCCCCTCTGAACCTTGTCCCCAAGTAAATGGTGCCCTTTTGCTCTTGAATGGTTGACCAGTCTGTGGTGAGCACACCTCACTAGTGTTGTTTCTCCCCATACACCTATCCACTTTGGGTTGAAAATTGGGCCATGAGGGTGAGTTCAGTTCCAGACCTGTAGGGTGGCTGAGGGCCATGGTCTAGGGTTCCTCCAGTTTCTTCCTAACTAGTAAGCCCAGTCTTTTTCCCCCAAAATGTTGAGTTTTGTTCCACATTGTCTCCCACTCTATCCAGGAACTTCTTATGTAATCCTTCTTTTCAGAGTAGTTGGTAGTAGGAGTCTGGCACCATCTAAGTTCTTCTGGTCTCACAATCATGGTGACTGATGTGTACGTGTTCCATTGAGTCTTTAGAATTAATTGATTCCAAGCATCTTCAGTTTTCAATGCTCTTCTTTCTTCTGCACATGGAGAAACCAATAGTTTCACCTTAGATGGCCTTTCAGTTTTTTAAGATCTCTGTTCGCTGTTCACCAAAGTAGGAGGTAGAACATTGGCTTCGTGGACTACATCATGCCAACTGGCCATGCTATCTTCACAGACTATGGTACTGAGAACCCAAGTCCAGCAATTTTTTGCCACAAGGCATTTAGTAATGTCCACGAAGCTTTCCTTATTTGGTCCCCTTGTATGCTCCACCACACTCACGGGTGTGTTTGCAACAGAGGTAAATACCCATGTACAAATGTCCTCTGTCAAATTCTTATATATTTGTGGGTATGTTCCCACTCTCCCTCCCATACCTGTTCAGCCAATGTATCTGTCCAGGTAGCTACCTGTAGAACACTGTTGTTGCAGGGTTGTATATAAGTCTTTACTTCTGTCCCCTTTAATCTTTGCATTCCTACCTGTGTTTTCACCTGTCATCATCATTCTTTTGCCAACTTCTCTCTTGTTGTATATATTGACTTCCCTGGCACCCGAATTAAAGCACTGTACTGCTCACCATAAGGTTGGCAGTTCAAACCCACCAGCCACTCCTCAGAAACCCTATATAGGTCACTATGAATTGAAACCAATTTAACAACAATGTCAGTCTTTTTAAAGCACTTCATGACATCTACTGTTCTCACAAGCATCTTTGTTGTAGTAGTAAGCTACTACGTGGAATACTGCACTAAAGAACTTTACACCACTCAAAAAAAAAAAAAAAAAGATATGGCAATTCACAAATTACATGAAGAAAATTTTTGATTAAAATGAATAGCTTATTGATTTTAACAGTGCATACAAGCTGTGAGGGCACATGAAGTACTGATTTACATCTTAGCTGAGGGAAGGGAGGAATCTGTGCATACATTTATGCATATCTGACAATGTACATATTCATAACTGCTTTGAGAGTATCGTCTTTAGACTCAAAGAGAATTTGAATCTATAACTCCTGTACACTGAACATTTAATGTTCCTGACAATGCTGAACAGGAATCTCAAGGACAATGAATTAGTCTCAAACCTCAATTAGCCCATAATTTTTATTTCATCACTACATCTACAGAAGGGATCTCAAACAGTAATATAAGTTGACCGTCAAACAAAACTGCAGAACAGAGAGCCAGAGAGAAAGAACATCTATACCAACCTGGGTAGTTCAGAAATGCAAACTACCCCCCCCAAATTTGATTCTGTTGCATACATACAATGTGTATTTGACTATTACAATTCATTCAAATGCTTCAAATAAGCATTGATTCAAAAGCACACAGAACAGACCTAACAAGGATTGAGCAGAGGCTAAAATAAAGTCATTGGTACCTGTGGGCACAACTTTTATAAAGATCAGCAACAACTGCCAAGTTCATAACCCAAAATAAGATTTTATTTTTTTAATGCACAGTAGACGCAATCATATCAATAGTGCATAATGTAGTCACTCAATGATAAAAAGAAATCCAATTTATTCTAGTGCCCCAGAGAAAGAAGGCATTCACTACCACCTTCTTTGTCTTCAGATAGCATGTCTTACTTCCTTCCCTCAAGCATATCCAGAATAACAAATGGAACATTAAAAGCTCTAGAGAAAATGAATTAACCACTCACTTTAAGGGCTCCGGAGACAGTTTTGTGCCTGAAAGGTTGATTTGCATCAGAGCCAGGGAACTACTAAAAAACTGTTTGAACGAAGGGGGCACGTCTTTTCCTTTTCTGAAAAAAAAGAAAACATAAAAGTCACAAGAGAACTTTCGTTTCTATCCCAGCACCCCACACTTCCAAGCTGTCAAGCATCTCAAAGCATAGAATTATGCATGGGTTACTTATACATTGTGAAATAATCCATAAATCAGTGGGAATTTCAAGTAAACAGAAACAAAACGTCTGAAACCTAAATAAATGAAATGAATACAATTAAAGGAATAGTATAAACGATAAGATATCTCCTAAGTCCTGGAAACAATTTTCTCTTGTTCTACGCAACCAATCAACTCGATGTCTTTTTATCCTAGATCACCAGGAAAATCTGTCTGAATTTCAAGGAAATTGGGAGTGAAAGAAGGCATTTATTTCTCACCAATGTATAAGAGTTCTCCCACTGGGTGGCATAGAATGTTGAGGATCACTACTGGCATTTGGCAATAGTTTTTAGATACATCAAGTTACAAATGCAACAGATCCAACGTTAAGCAGAGGAGCAGTATAGAAAGTCTGAATGGCATGAAGCCTGCATGATAATTAGCCTATTCAGCTATAATGCACAACCTGCAAATTGAATCTGTTCAAAGATGAATGCAACTATTACAGTAGGAAGAAAAGTGGATCAAATCAAACAGCTCAACAATAATGTAGAGTCAACACCATACTATAGTGTTTTGATTCAAGAACCAAAGTTGGAATTTGAACACTTTGCTTGTTTTTTTCTATCTGATAGAACAACGGAAGGACTGCAGGGTCCACATAAGCACTCATTTAATCACAGTTATTTGTATTCTGTGGAGCAATCCATAGAATCTCAGGGCAGATGGCAGCCTAGTGGTCCAGCTCAATCACAGAATAGTCAATATTGGATGAACACAGATCTAGAAAAATCTATCAGTATTTAAAAAGGGTTTTAAAACAGGACAGATTCAGGCTATTTGGGAAGAAAGATCTATGCAATCACAGTATCTGTCGTGGGAGATAAAATAAAGAAACCTATGTGGAATGTGAATTCTAGTAAAATACTGTATTAGGCATTTGAAACAACTCGAGCACCAAATAATATAACTCTGTATGAGCCAATGCTGTTATGCTTTGAATATCGTTTTCCTGCTACTTTGTGTGGAGTGTGTCAATGTTCCCAAATACTCACTACCCCTTTCTGAGGGCGGATGATGTTCCCTCACTCCACTGAAGGCAGACTTTGCATGCGAATTCCTCTGCCCAGTGGGTTAGGAGCAGTAATGTAAAATGTGTGACTTTCAGGCAGAAGCATTTACAGCCAGTGTGTATACTGTATTGTCATGATCTTTTTCTCTCTGCTATGAGATTGGTAATGCCCCAAAATCGAAACTGCTCTGCATCCCAAACAGAAGATGATGCAATAAAGTACCACAGTCAGCCCTCAGTGGGTACATCATAAAATAGCTGTGATCAAAAGCCCTCCTAGATGTAGTCTTTTGAGAAAGTTGTGGCATACGTTTGCTATCATGCAAGTTGTCACCAATGCTGAAGTATTGCACTAATAATCGGTTGCCATCGAGTTGACTGCAACTCATAGTAACCCATCAGGACAGAGTGTTTGCCCTTGGCCTCAGAGGTTTTCCAAGGCTGCGTATCTTTATGGAAGTCGATGCCATGTCTTCTTCCTGTGAAGCAGCTGTGAGGTTTGAACTGACAGCCTCTCAGGTATCAGCTCAGTGCTTTACCACTGCACCACCTTTTACTGTTCTAACAGTATGATAAAATAGACAGTTACTCATCTGCAAGGCACTGTTGTGAAATAAAGCACGCCACATAGCTGAATTTTTTACAAAGTGAGAGCTATCCTTTGGAAAATACGAGCGAGCTTCAAAAAGTTCATAGAAAAATTGAATGAAAAGAGAATGGAATTTTTCCGTGAACTTCTTACAGACGATTTCTATTATCACACAATTCCCATATTATTAAATAAAATATAATGACAAAAATATTATTCTTTTATGACATCTGGTAATAAGTTAAAATGCTATTTGTTGTACTGTAGTAATACAGTATGTGATCCCAGAATACCATACTTGAGTAAACTACTTACTTTTCATAATTCTTTTGTTTTCTCCCTCCATTCTGTATTGCTGCTGCTTATAAATCCTTGCTGCTTCTAATCTGCTGCCTTCTTTTGCAACCCATTTGAAGTCAGAAGGACAGTAGTTAGGTACCTTTGACTGGTCCTACACTTACACAAATTAAAATGTATGAGCTTTGGGGTAACTATTCTTCTTACTCCCCCGGGGTCATGTACACTTACTTCCAAGTTTATCTTTGAGAAATAAGTGCTTATGTTTCTAAGAGGGTTTTTACTACAGTTAAGAGAGAGCGCCCATCTACATATGGGAATAGTGCATTATCATATAGTTCATATAGGAGGCTGCAGTTATTGATAGCATTAACCCATGGTAGATAAAGATAACAAAAGCTTGAAAATTTCAAGGCCTAATAATATTCACAGATAATGGTTTAAGGCAATCTTCTTTCATGGCCACTACTTGCTCTTTATCAACCTATTTTCATTATGACTGAAACTTTCTCTGACTGGCATTCCAAATGGCGACAATAGTGGGAGTAAATCCATACCTGTGAGAAAAGACAGTTCTGGAGACATTGAGCACAGCCAAATGTTGAAGGCACCCACGGAGAAGAGCACCACACACCTGAGAAAGAAACAAGGAACTCTTATTTTCAAATGCCACGAGGGCCAGGAGAACGTCTTATTACAGAGAAAACCCTTTTATCCCACACCTCAATAGCTGTTCTCAGACCCTCAGTGCAATTAAAAAACAAACATTACCATGTCCAGGGGGCACTCTGTATTGGATAAATCCAGATGAGCAATAGCATTTGGCTGGGCCAAAAAACTGTACATGTACTTGAAATGAAAAAAAAAAAAAGTATTAGGGCACTAGAGACATATATACACAGACATACTCTCCAAACCTCCCAGGATCCTTCTCTATCTTTCCCAAGAGTATTTGCAGAATTTTCTCTTTCATTTATCTTCCTTGAAATAAAAAATTCAGAATATTTAACATAAAACTGTTGTTAAGTGCCATTGAGTCGATTCCGACCCATAGCGACCCTGTGTAGGGTTTCCAAGGAGCAGCTGGTGAGCTTGAACCACGACCTTGCAGTTCAAATGCCTTTGCAGTCTGACGCATTAGCCCACAGCACCACACCAACATATAATTAGAGGGTGAAAAAAGGCCAAATGGAATCTTGGCTATCAAGCTCTCCTTTTTGCTGCACATGATTTTGTTTTCCTGATTAGCTCAGTTTTTATTATGTAACTCTGGACCGATGCTAATTAATTTTAACCCCCTGAGATAGAAATAACACCTAACTTGCAGTCACCCTATCAGGATGCTAATCACTGTTGAAAGTGTTGAAGAAACCCCTAATTCGAACTAGAGGGTGATCTCAGGCCATCCTCTCTTGCAGCTAACATATTGGTGTTTATAGCCTTACTCTTACTTCCAAAATCTAACAAGTACTATGACTACAAAACTAAATGAAACCTCACATAGAGCAACAACACTTCAGGTTGCAGGGGATTACAAAATCAAAGCTAGCCAAACAATAAAATTGATCATTCTTTGTTGTCCTCAAACTGCCTTTGTGAGTAGCAACTTACAGAGTTCCCCACTGTTGTGCGAACAGTTAACTTCTCCTCTATTTCAACGGATGCCACTAGATCATTTCAGAAACAAACAAGCTTATACTGTACATATTAAGTACAGCAGCTTGACTACCTAGTGCTTCTGGAAAATTCTCTCAACCAAAGCATTCAGAAGAGCCATGAGCATTTTATACACAACTTAGAATAATCGGACACAGAATGAAGTATTTGCATTATGAAAAGTCCTGATCAGGAAAATAACCTTTTGCTGTTACATGACAAGGCCTTGGATTCTAGGTATTTCAGTTCTAGTGGCTTCAAAAGGCGTCCTTCCTGGCAGCACAGTGTTTATACACTAGAGTTGCAAACCAAAATGTTGGCGGTTTGAACTCACCAGGTGCTCTGCAGGAGAAGCATGAGGCAATCTGCTTCCATAAGTAATACAACCTTGGAAACCCCATGGGGCAGTTCTAGTAACTCATATAAGGTTGCTATGAGTCGGAATCAACTTGCCGGTGATGGGTTATTGGCCTCAACAGACATAGTCTTAAAAGGTGGGTGTGGTTTTACTCTCAGCCACCAGATGGGGGAGCTCTGATCTACCTTAAATTGGCCAACACTTCTTCAAGTGGCAAGCCCTGCTAGGCTGCTTACCCAGAAGGCAGAGGGTGGATCTAAGTTCCTGTACCTGCTGCAAACTCCCAGACCCTCTTCCTGGATGGAGCTGGATGCCACGACCCCTTCTCAGAGGCAAGCTGGGACAAGATCTACCCCTGGCCAGGGAAACAAGTCCTGGGCCACTTTGTTGTCTTACATAACTATTAATGCTGCTACTTTAGCTGAGCTTTATTATTTAATTGTCTGTGTCTTCTTTTATCGCACCCTCTTGTGATGCAGTAGGGCAAGTACTGGATGACTAGTCTTAAGACTGGTGGTTCAAACCCACCAACCGCTCCTTGGAAATCCTATTCAGGGTTGCTAGGAGTTGGAACTGACTCGATGGCACTTAACAATTTTCTCCAGTTTATCAGTGTAATGGTTTAGACGTTTCACATCAGACCCCTTGCTTTTCCTGGGGACTGAGATTTATGAGCTATCAGTGAAAGTGACAATTGAAGTTGGAAAGTACCTAGAACAACCCATGGCACACTAGGAAACAAGTATCGTTCGAATGATTTCAAGCACCAGGGAAGAGGGGAAGTGAAACTAAACTACAGGGACCATGGCAACAATCCAAGTCCTTGTCTTCAAGTGAAAGCGAAACTGAAGAAAAACAAATATAAATCCAACTGCATTTTCTCTTTCTGAAAAATAACAATGAAAATTACGGTCCTTCACAGATGTTCCTTTTCTGTAGGTCCTACTGCTAAGGGACTTCTTGTATGTTATCTTGGTGACCAGAGGGGATCAACCAATCACCACATATGGCATCAGACCTAAGCCACTGTATTGATGATGCTGTTAAGAGCCACCGAGTTGGTTCCGACTCACAGTAACCATGTATAGGGTTTCCAAGGAGTGGCTGGTGGGTTTGAACGACCAACCTTGTAGTCAGCAGTAAAGTTTGATAAAAGCTGACAAGCATTCACAATATTGACTCAGTTGCATGGAAAATCTTGTTACAATTGAGGGGAAGCATTTTGCCTGTGGCCTGTAACTCTAAAGAGTGTTACCAGATTATTCCTAACCCTCCCCTCTCTCCTTATCCACCAGCAGCAGTCATGGAACATACCAGGACTGAGTGTGATCTCTTCTGTGACTCACACAAGGATGCCATGCGTCAGAATCTACTCAGTGGCAATTGGTTTGGGGTTTATCCCAACTCTCCCTTTCACTTCCACAAACTATAAAAAAGTACCAGTCTTCTCAACAATATTGCATACTGTATAATGAAGAAACATTTGAAAACTACCAATTTTTCTTGTCAGGCAATTTAAAAAGGTATAATATTTTTAATTAATAAAAAGAAAAATCTGTTAGTAAAAAAAGTTTTTCCAAAAAGAATGAAAACTTGAGCATCATTAAATGAGAAAACAACTCCAGGGATAAACTACATTTAATTAAAGGAGACTGTAGAATTTGTCTTAAAACTTAGTCTTGGAACTAAATTATTTCAAGGTATCATGCATGATAAAAGGAAATACATTAGAATGTCTAGAAATTAGACCAGGCCTAGTAAATACAGTTTATTTAAAGAAGAACTTATGGAAAAGAAAACCTACCGAGAGGTCATCTCCGCGAAGGATGTTCCCTGAGAGGTCTAGGTGGATGAGGGTGGTGGCGGTCAAAGGGTTGGCACTGAGTGACTGAGAAAGACTATTCACCCCTGCAACAGTGAGAAGATCCAGGTTCAATTTTCACTCCAGGAAACAAAAAGGAGGTTTGAGAGTTTCTATAAATGTCCCTGTTCTCCCATTAAATTGCAGGACTGAGGTTAACCAGAAGTTTTACCATGTGTCTTCTTCTGCCACGCCCTTAGGAAGAACAGGTTAACCACAGATGCAACCACATCATTTTGTTCTTCCTATTCAGTGTTCTGGTGTGGCGCTGTAGAATAAGTATTGGACTGCTAACTACAAGGTCAGTGTTCAAACCCACCAGCTGCTCCTCAGAAACCTTATACAAGTTCACTATGAGTCGGAATCTACTAGAAGACAATTAAACAACAACATTCATTGTTCAAGGAAAGAAAGGATTCTAATTCTGGGAATAAAGCAAATCTCTTTGAAGTCTTTGAAAGATGCAAGCAGTCTCATCGACAATTTGTATCCTTCTCTTAAATTCTGCCAGATACTTCCTGATTTACGGTTTAAATGTTTAAATGGTGCATGCCAAATTCAGATGCTTCGGGCAAGTTAATATAGTAATACACGGCTCCATTTAGCACACTGCACCCAAAACAGCATTTGGGTTAAAACGGATTTTATGAAGAGTGAGGAGGTAATTTCTACACATTAAGAAGAAAAGAAAACCATACACTTTAACTAACAGACACCGTTTACATAGAGTGAACACAAATGGTTCAGGTTAGAGTCAACTGAACTCAACTGAGAAATACTGCCTCAACATCTGATCTGCCTGTGCAGAAGGCAAGATCATCTGCAAAGAGGGAGTCGTGTTCTGTTTGTTCTATGCAGGTTAACAGTAATTGGTAACTGCTAGGACATAATCTTGAGTGGGTGGATTTTTATAGGAGCTCTGGTAGCATAGTGGTTACGAGTCAGGCTACCAACCTCAAGGTCAGCAGTTCGAAACTACCAGCGGTTCTGCTCCCGTAAATATTTACAGCCTCAGAAACCCTGGGTAGGATCACACAGCAGCAGCAGCAGCAGCAAGACATAGCCTTGAGTAGGTGGATTTTTATCAGGGCACTACATTTTATCAAAGAATAGAGATTACAGGGTCACTATGAGTCAGAAGGAGTCCTGGTGTGGCGCTGTGGGTTAATGCGCTAGACTGCAAAGCCATTTGAACTGCAAGGTCGGCAGTTCAAGCTCACCAGTTGCTCCTCGGAAACACTGTATAGGGTCGCTATGGGTCGGATCTGACTCGGCGGCACTTAACAACATGAGTCAAAAAGGGCTCAGTGGCAATCAGTCGGGTTTGTTTTAGAAGCTCTCTGGCTACTACCCAACTGTCAGTTTGTTGTACTGTGGTAGTTTACATGTTGTTATGATGCTAGAAACTATACTACTGGTAGGTCACTTATGATGGACAGGTTTCAGCAGAGCGTTCAGACTGAGAAAGAGTAGGAAGAAAGGTCTGGCAATCTACATCTGAAAAATCAGCCACTGAAAACCTTGTGGACCAAGCTTGTACTCTGATACAGAAGGAAGCCACCATGACAGAATCTACTTTGACAGCAGCTGCTTTTTTTATGCTTTGTTTTTCTATTGGTTGTTGGTTGTTAAGTGCCATCGAGTCGGGTCCGACCCATAGCGACCCTGTACAGGGTTTCCAAGGAGCAGCTGGTGAGCTTGATCTGCCGACTTTGAAGTTCAAACAGCTTTGCAGTTTGGCGCAATTAACCTGTAGTGGCAACATCAATGGGCTCAAGCGTGGCAACAGTGGGGAGGCTTGCCCAGGATCTGGCAGTGTTTCGTTCTGCTGTGCATAAGGTCGCTATGGGTCAGTACCGACTCGATGGCACCTAACAACAACAACACTAATT